CTGCCCGGAATGGAGATTTTAATTTACGGCAGAAAATTTCCACCTGAGAGAACAAGTGTTTTTAGAAAGGCTCATCGGGTTTGGCAGCTCTTGAACGTTCTCATTATCCAACTTATCATTTTCCTCGCAGATGTGATAGTGGCACTACTGTGATCCTTGAGGGTGAGATACTCAGACATTACCACTCCCAGGTACCCATTGTACTGATGGGTGAACAGGGAAACTAATCAAATTTACAGCAACTCTCCCAAATATTTCATTATCCCTTAACTATTAAGTCATTATTACAAGCTTAAAAATGTATGTTTGTATCGTTAATTGTGCTACCTCATAATAATACTGCTGTATACTAACGGCCCCCATCAAGGCTGGCGACATTGCAGACCTGGAGAGTGTACAAAGAACTTTCACGGCACAAATAAGTACGATAAGGTATCTAAACTACTGGGAACGGTTGAAGGTCCTTGATCTGTATTCCCTCGAACGCAGGCGAGAGAGATACATGATAATATACACTTGGAAGGCCCTGGAGGGACTGGCACCAAACCTACACACGAAAATCACTCCCTATGAAAGCCAAAGACTCGGCAGGAGATGCAACATTCCCCTGATGAAAAGCAGGGGTGCCGCGAGTACACTGAGAGAGAACACAGTAAGTGTCCGGGGCCCCCAACTGTTCAATTTCCTCCCAGCATACATAAGGGGGATTACCAATAGACCCCTGGCTGTCTTCAAGAAGGCACTGGACAGGCACCTAAAGTCAGTACCTGACCAACCGGGCTGTGGTTCGTACGTCAGCTTGCGTGCGGCCAGCAGTAACAGCCTGGTCGATCAGGCCCTAATCCACCATGAGGCCTGGTCTCAGACCGCGCCGCGGGGGCGATGACCCCCGAAGCCCTCTCCAGGTAATACTACTCTTCACCTGTCTAGACTTAAGTTGTCTATAAGTATTAGGTTAAGTCTGCCTGAAATGCCTCGGCATGATAACCTTAGCAAAGAAATAAAATTTTATTTTATTATTGTTATTTATTTATTTATTTATTTAAAATCCAGTACGGTATCCACTTATAGTGATCTGTTGAAGAGACTAGTTAATGGTTTGCTAAGTTCCTCTTTACTTTCCTTTACAACCCTTCGTAACAACAGCTCTTTAGGGGCCAGTGACTGTTTAGTATCACTCTACCTAGTTGTTTGAAGAACATGTCATTAGTAACCTTCATCTTGAGAGTAAGACACATGTGCAACATCTGGGTATCTTTATTGTATGTAGACGTTTCGCCATCCAGTGGCTTTATCAATACAAATTCTAGGACATAACTTGAAGACAGTAGAACTATGTACAGAAGATGAGGTAATCAGTCCCTCAACCTAGGAGTAGGTGCAAAGAGCACCATAGTCGTGGAGATTCAGAATCTCCACGACTATGGTGCTCTTTGCACCTACTCCTAGGTTGAGGGACTGATTACCTCATCTTCTGTACATAGTTCTACTGTCTTCAAGTTATGTCCTAGAATTTGTATTGATAAAGCCACTGGATGGCGAAACGTCTACATACAATAAAGATACCCAGATGTTGCACATGTGTCTTACTCTCATCTTGTCGGTATTATATACCATTCGTACACAACCTTCATCTTACTCAGTTTAGTCTCGTCCAGACGTAAAATTATTAAAATCTCTGGGATTTCATTTGTATTATCTTATATAAAAACAGAGGAAATAAAAATAAAAAATGGTGCACATTTCTTTGTCTCTAACAGTAAGCTATCTGGAGTATACCTGGAGAGGGTTTCGGGGGTCAACGCCCCCGCGGTCAGACCAGGCCTCATGGTGGATCAGGGCCTGATCAACCAGGCTGTTACTGTTCAACCAGGCTAATCAGAGTTTCATTTATGTGAGCCAATTTTTTTCCCTAATATTCTTCCTATACATGTATACCTGAAAGAAATCCTGTGGGTTGATCCTTGATTCCCTCACAACCTTAATTCCAAATTATCTGTGGAAAATTTTGTACCTAATTTTCCGAAATTATAATGTATAATTTTTAATATGTAAATAAGTATAAAAATGATGCTGATATGACCTTCGAGAAAATCCGAGTGGGGAAGGAAAAATCTGCGACTGCGCAAGTTGGGGAAGGGGACGCCATACTGAATTCAAAACGGGACCACATTGTAATTTGTGTGGGAAATTTCGGCGTTCTCCAAGGCTAAATAGGGAATTGGCTTCAGAATTGTGATAGAAATTTGAAATTATGTCCTACTTAGAAAAATAAGGACAAGAAATTGGCAGGACATCCAGGATTTCGGATAAATGGGGAAAATAAGAAACTATCACCACCCACATCTAGGTAAACCGTCTTTTTATGTAGAGGTTAGAGCTAGCTGGCCAGTTGTGGGTGATCCAGCTGCATCAAGGGATCTCCAGAGGAAACAATGGTAAGTGGTAATAATGATCATTTCTCTGGCATTATAATGTTTGAATATCTGTGTACCCTCCCTCCCCCACACACACCCTCGTTCAGTGAGTCAAACCCAACTCATACAGTCCACCTTAATTTCAATTACGCCAGAATTATTGTTATGTTTTCTTATGTAATGCATAAATTTAAGTCCCGTTATTGTGTGAGTATTGTGCGGATTGCGGGTACAAGGGGACGCTTTCCTGCGACCTAGGGAGTCTAAAAATCCCACATACCTCAGATTTGCAACAAAATGTAAGCAATGTATCTTAGTTGCATTCTAACCAAATTACTTGTATGAATGTAATAGTGAGATTCATACAGGTAATTTATTTCTCACATGATCTTTTGACTTTCCTGTTCCTTTCATAATTTCTCTCTTCACCTTTCAGTGCATGTCTTTTCACCTAAAAGATGTTTTTATCTATCATTATATCAAATGCTATATTCAGCTACCAGTCGTGGCGAGGTATACAAAACATAAAATCTTTGCCAATTGATTTATTAAATAGAAAAGTAAAAATTTGCATAATAAATGTTAGTCAGTAGCTGGAGGAGGCTCTCTAAAAGAATGATGCTAGTATAGGACAGGCAGTCTATAATAGGCTGTGACCTGTAATTTTGAAAATAATTGTTATATGTATGGATTGTTTATTGATACTGTTGTTGCTTGCTCTGATGTTAACTTTGTTGTTCATGATGTATTATTAGTATTGCTACTGGTATCACAGAATTAACGACACTATGTGCATGGTAATAACAGCAACAGCTGCTGCTGCTGTTAGTGCAGCTGCTGCTATGGTTACACGACTCCTTTTGTTAGTACTGATTCTTGTTATGTACCTGCTACTGTTGCGATGCAGCAGCTACTGCTGTTGCTGCGACTGTAGATGTACTGTATAGTGTCTCCATATTAATGGTGTTAAGCTTGAAGACCTAACAACCACTAGGGTCATTAAAACATTACTTCTAGTATATTATAATTCCCAACAAAGTTAAGAATTAAAGTAATTCTAAGTACACCTTTTTTACACACACTCACATAGATATACGTATGTGTGTGTGTGTGTGTGTGTGTGTGTGGTGTTTACTACTGCATCAGATATATATTAATTCTTTGGTGAAGAACAGCTGAAGGAAAGTACAGAAGGAGCTGAAGTTCTCTTCTTTTACTAGTGATGAAATTTATTGTTTTATAATGCTTCTGAAAGTGCAGAGGAGGAGTTGCTTTATCAAGATAGTTTTTTTTTTTTTACGAAAGAGTAGTTTTCGTCAGTAAGGTCATCAGGGATTTCCTTAGTCCTGGGGTGAATTCTCCAGCAAGTTCATATGGAGAACTATAATGGTTGTCATCACAAGGACGTCAGGCTGTGTTCCGTGTGGTGGTCTTCCTACTGGACGTCAGGCTGTGTTCCGTGTGGTGGTCTTCCTACTGGACGTCAGGCTGTGTTCCATGTGGTGGTCTTCCTACTGGACGTCAGGCTGTGTTCCATGTGGTGGTCTTCCTACTGGTTGATACACGTACGATATTTATCAAGCTGTGGATAGAGTAAGACTGATTGTTAATGGCTTTTGTTTATATGCAAAATGAATGTTTTTATTGTAATTCATGAGTTATTTCGATTTAAGAAATAACCAGAGAAACAAATACATCATTAATGGGCAGTGATAAAAATAAATCAGTAATATCGGACAAGGTATCAACCGGGGATTTTAAGGAATGATAAATAAGTTATTCCCTCTTGATTATTGTTGAAATCACTATGAGAGAGAGAGAAAACACTGGCAGTGAAAAGAATAATGGCACTGTGCCAGTAGTTACGTAAGTACACACAACTCACAGTTAGCTTCATGGTCATAAGGCACTGCATCATGGGCACCAGCTCGTCCTGGCTAAAACCTAACTTGGTGAGATACTTCTCAAAACTGAAGTGATGAGGACAGTGCTCGTGGCTTGCACTGTTCGAGCTGCTGTCACTGTTGCCTTTGTTTGTACTGGAGCCTGCAACAATATCTTGTACATCATAAAAGTCACACTTTATTATCAGAGTATATATATATATATATATATATATATATATATATATATATATATATATATATATATATATATATATATATATATAATATATATATATAATATAATATATATTATATATATATTAACACAACACAACACACACACAATTACAACAACACATATAATAATATATATATATATATATATATATATATATATATATATATATATATAATATATATATATATATATACATATATATACGTGTGTGTGTGCGTTTAAGTTTAAATATTACATTAGATTTCTACATAAGTAATGCTGTAAAAAGGTATAATTAATTGTGAGATGGTACTGTTAATGGTTCTTTGGCCATAGTATAACTCAGTGGGAGACAGAAGCTGAATCTAAATTTAGCATTTTTTCTCAGGACTGAGCACAAAAAAAATGACTGTTTTTATTAAAAGCAGTAGTACCTGTTGAGGCAGGAGGAGTGAAGCTGTAACCCAGCTGATTAGCACAGGTAGTGGTGTTTTGCAACATCTTCTCCTTCCAAAGTGTGCGGTTGTAGTGCTGGTTGGGGTTCTTCACTGGCTTGAGTTGGTTCATACAGTTCTCCATGTTGGCTTCACACTTGGTCTTGTCGGCATGTACACACAGCTCTTCCGCTGGGGACACGAACCAGAAGTTAAAACATTTTCTAAAAGCTTAGAATTCAGGACATGCTAAGAATTAATTTCCGCAGTGACATTCTTAGGCTGCCCTCGAACTCTGTAAATTACACTAGACACTACACTTAGAGCACTCTCTCTCCACCATCTCCACTAATTATCCCCACCATCATCTCCACCACACAAATTTCAACTCATCCCCCAATAAAGAACAATCACCACAGAGTATCTTACATTCCACATACACGGGTGATACAACGGCATATAAATACTGAGGGGAATCGACAATGTGGACAGAGACGGGATGTTCCAAAGATGGGACAAAAGCAAAAAGGGGTCACAGCTGGAAGTTGAAGACTCAAAATGAATCACAGGGACATTAGGAAGTATTTCTTCAGTCACAGAGTTGTTGGGAAGTGAATAGTCTGGAAAGTGATGTGTGGAGGCAGGATCAGGCTCTGATCCACCAGGAGGCCTGGTCTCAGACCGGGCCGCGGGGGCGTTGACCCCCGGAACTCTCTCCAGGTAAACTCCAGGTAAAAAAGCATTAAGAAGAGGTATGTAAAGCGCATGGAGCGGAAGAGGCACCAGTGAAGAGGCAGGGCCAGGAGCTATGAATCGACCCCTGCAACCACAACTAGGTGAGTATACACATATGCGGGGCCAGGAGCTATGACTCGACTCCTGCAACCACCTATTTGTGTGTACACACACACCCCACACACAATAAGGATAATGAGAAGTCGAAGAGCCAGAAATGAATATGCAACAGGTAAGAGGGAGGCCCAATGACATAGAAGAGAAAGCCAAGTCTGAACCAAAGCTGTTGTACATTCGCATCAGGAGGAAAGCAACAGTCAAGGACCAGGTAATCGTGCTGAGGAAAGAAGGAGGGAGACCACAAGAAACGACCCAGAAGTATGTGAAGAGCTCAACAAGAGATTTAAAGGAGTATTTACAGAGGAGACAGAAAGGACTCCAGAAAGCCAGAGTGTTGGAACATTACATACAACCAAGGAGGAGCGAAGAGGCTGCTAAGGGAACCAGATACCTCAAAGGGTTGGACAACATCTCCCCGTGGGTCCTCAGAGAGGTAGTAGAGGCGCTCTGTGTACCACTTTTTTTAAGAAAGGAGACAGAAAACAGGCAGCACTAAACTACAGACCAGTGTCACTGACATGTATAGTATGCAAAGTCATAGAGAAGATTATCAGGAGAAGAGTGATGGAGCACCTAGAAAGGAATGAGCTTATTCACGACAACCAGAATGGGTTCACGGAAGGAAATCCTGTGTCACAAACCTACTGGATTTCTATGACAGTAACAGAAGCAAGGCAAGAGAGAGAGGGAGAGAGAGAGAGAGGTGGGTAGATATTGTTTCCTTGGACTGTAGGAAGGCTTTTGACACAGTTCCACACAAGAGGTTAGTGCAAAAGTCTGAGGATCAGGCGGGATAACAGGGAAGACACTGCAATGGATAAGAAGTACCTGACAGGAAGCCAATAACGAGTCATGGTACGTGACGAGGTGTTAGAGTGGGCACCTGTGACGAGCGGGGTTCCACAGAGGGTCAGTCCAGGACCGGTGCTGTTTCTGGTATATGTGAATGACATGACGGAAGGGATAGACTTAGAAGTGTCCCTGTTTTGCAGACGATATGGAGGTGAGGAGAATTCAATCGGATGAGATCAGGCAGGACTACAAAGGGATCTAGACAGGCTGCAAGCCTGGTTCAGCAACTGGCTCCTAGAGTTTAACCCCACAAAGTGCAAAGTCATGAAGACTGGGAGAGGACAAAGAAGGCCACAGACAGAATACAATCTAGGGGGGGGGGCAAAGACTGCAAACTTTACTCAAGAAAAAAAATCTTGGGGCGAGTATAATACCGAGCACATCTCCTGAGGTGCAAGTCAACCAATAACTACTGCAACATATGGGCGATTAGCAAACCTAAGAATAGCATTCCGAAGCCTCAGTAAGGAACCGTTCGGGACTCTGTATACAGTGTACATCAGGCCCATACTGGTGTATATAGCACCAGTTTGGAATCCCCACCTGGTCAAGCACGTCAATAAATTAGGGAAAGTGCAAAGGTTCGCAACAAGAGTACCCAGAAGAGAATGTAGAATATAACTGGTATAACTGTGTCTAGCATTAGGAATAATATTAGGAGAAAAGTAAATAATGAAAATGATTGTTATAGGAATGCAAATAGAAGCCTGAGTATATCTGTAACCCGCTATGATAACATGAACGTAGATGAGTATGTTTATGGAGCAACGTGCAATGTGAACAGACTGACTGATGTTGTAGTGGCCAGGCTTAGGCTTGGTTACAAGTAACTTCTGGCAGTTTGGGAGACACACAGATGATGATCAAACTAAATGTAAATTATGTGATCAGGCATACGGTCACTGTCCTTGAACACTATGTGCTTAATTGTCCACTTATTGAGGAATACAGAGATAGACAGTATGATAACCTAGTGACATGTCAAGATATCTTATTAATGAAAATAAGATACCAGATATACTAAGCAAATTTCCTAAATTGTTTGTAACAGATAAGTGAACTATAGATATGTAGATATAAATCCATATGTATTCATGTTAACCCCTTGGGGCCTAGTTCCTGGGCCTTTTGTGTATCCATATGCTCTTGCGGTACCGTCCACAGGTTGGATATGGGGTGCACAATAAACTAGCCACTTCGGTGGCAAAATCTAATCTTGCAACAAGACTATTTCCGGTTAAGGGAAATCGACCTGACGGCATTAGAGGACAGGAGAGAGTGTGGGAGACATGATAACGACATTTAAAACACTGAGAGGAATTGACAAGGTGGACGGACATAGGCTGTTCCAGAGATGGGACACAACAACAAGGGGTCACACTTGGAAGTTGAAGACTCAGATGAGTCACAGGTATACAGAGATGTTAGGAAATATTTCTTCAGTTATAGTTGTCCAGGAAGTGGAATAGTGTGAAGAGTGATGCAGTGGAGGCACGATCCATACATAGCTTTACCTGAGTTTACCTGGAGAGGATTTCGGGGGTCAACGCCCCCGCGGCTCGGTCTGAAACCAGGCTTCGTGGTGGATCAGGGTCTGATCAACCAGGCTGTTACTGTTGGCCGCACGCAAACTGACGTACGAAACACAGCCCGGTTGTTCAGGTACTGACTAGGTGCCTGCCCAGTGCCTTCTTGAAGACAGTCAGGGGTCTATTGGTAATCCCTCTATGTATGCTGAGAGGCAGTTGAACAGTCTTTGGCCCCGGACACTTATTGTGTTGTCTCTCAATGTACTCATGGCACCCCTGCTTTTCATTGGGGAATGTTGCTTCTCCTGCCGAGTCTTTTGCTTTTCATAGGGAGTGATTTTCGTGTGCAAGTTTTGGTACTAATACCTCTAGGATTTTCCAAGTATATATTATCATGTAATCTCTCTCACCTGCGCTCCAGGGAATACAAATGAAGGGCCTTCAACCGTTCCCAGTGATTTAGGTGACTTATCGTATTTACGTGTGCGTGAAAGTTTTTTGTTTTAAGAAGAGATATGATAAGGCTCATGGAGCAGGGAGAGAGTGACCTAGAGAGACTAGTGAAGAGGCGGGCCGGAGCTGTGACCTCGAACCCTGCAATCACAATTAGTTGAGTACAATTAGGTGAGTATACAAACAGCAGTCAGCAGCAATAGGTAGACTTACTGAGAGCGGTCATGGCGGTGAGTGGGCCAGGATCCGGGCAGGGTGAGGTAGCTCCCACGTTGCTGAGTTGAGGCGAGGCATCAACACTCAACACCGTCAACGCCACAGTCACCAACACGCACATAAACACCTTCATGATGATCTTTTACCACAATCTGAGGAAGAAAAGTCCTTGCTATAAGAGAGGGAGAGGTGGACCCGTGGGACTAGGAGAGGGAAAGGTGGATCCTTGGACCTGGAGGGGGAGAGGTGGACCCTTGATCTGGAGGGGGAAAAGTGGACCTGTGGACCCTGAAGGGGAGAGGTTGGCCAGTGGGACTTGGACGGGGAGAGGTGGACCCGTGGGCCCTGGAGGGGGAGAGGTTGACCAGGGGGAACCTGGACGGGGAGATGTGGACCCAAATGGGACCTGGAAAGTTAGTTACTGTAATATGTTGATTATGCACCCCATAAACATCCTGTGGGCGGTAGTCAAAAGATTACAGAGGTACTAATTGGTCCAGGACTGGACTCCAAAGTTTTGATACTGAGCAAGTTACAGAGGTAATGAACTCACAATTTACAAAGGTAATGAACCACAATTTAAAATTTTCCCAACTCACAATTTACAAAGGTAATGAACTCCAGGTAGGTCTGGTCACAATCATGACAAGTTACAAAAGGAAAGGAAGGGGTGGACCCGTGGGACCTGGAGAGGAAGAGGTGGGCCCATGGGAACTGGAGAGGGAGAAGTGAACCCATGGGCCCCACCAGGATAGGCATAAGTAAGTAAGTTTTTTTCTGGTATACACCCAAAAACATTTACATAGATTGTCATACATACAGCAAATGTGTAGAAAAACCTAGAATAGCCCCAAAAAGTCAGAGTGACTTTTTTCCATAGGGGGCCTTGTAATACCTTTATTATTATACTATACAGGAGATATACTAGGAATAAGGTAAAATGAGTTATTTAATTTACATGTGTGTTAACTAAAAAATAAAAAAAAACATTCTCCTCCCTTTCTGTCGCTACATTCATTAGACACCTTTTGACTCTCTTCTTGAATTGGCTCATGCTGTGACTGGCTTTGACATGTGCAGGAAGTCTGTTCCATTCCTTTATTGTACAATAAAAGGTGTTTGAAGCCTGGCCACTGACTGTGGGTACTACAGAGTTGTGCTCTCTCGCCTAGTGCTATGATTGCTTTGGTTTCCAACCTTGACAAAATTGGCAGCTAGATATTCTGGACACTGTGAGCAATTTTATGAACTTGATTTAATTTCAGTTGTTTTAATCTGGCTTCATCATTCAGCATATCCAATTGTTGTAATTCATCCTGGCCTACATGCTCTCTTGGACCCAGGTCCAGGATAAATCTTACCATTTTGTTCTGGGTGATTTGCAGTCTATCTTTCATTTTTTTTTTTGTCAAGACAGAGTACCAAGAAGAACAAGCGTAGTACATATGACATTGTATAAGGGCTAGACATGGGGTCCTGCGAGCCTCAGTTGGTAGACACTGTGCTTGTCTGTAGAGGAACTTCAATCTGGCATTCGCTTTCCTTACAACACTGCTCCCTATTAATTCTCCTGACATGCATGGGTCAAAGAGGATTCCCTGATATTTTTACTGAAGAAACTGAAGTGATGGGTTCCCCATTACACCGGACATTAAAATTATTTACCCTTCTTAGCTTATGTTCCGTTTTCCCAAGGTGTAGCGATAGTTTGTTGTCTACCAACCATTTGCTGCAGGACTCAGTTTCAGTGTTATTACATTAGGATTATCTTGAGGGTCTTTACGTGACTCTAACAAGCACTGTCATCCGCATACAGTAGGAGTTTGCACTTGACACTGAGGGGCATGTCGTTTACATAACATAGAAATAATAAGAGACCCAGAATACTACCTTGAGGAGCTCCACATGCTGCCGGCAAAGGGTTCTGATTCTATTTTGTTGATTTTGACAATTTTGTTTCCTGCTGCTAATTAGAACTTAAACCAGTCTATGGAACCTATGCCAATAGCTTGAAGTTTCTTACATAATACATTGTGCTTGGCAATATCGAAGGCCTTTTGCAAGTCTAAGGTTACCACACCTATGAGGTTCGCTATCGACATTTCAGTTCTCATGTAATCCATCAGATTAATTGGGGAGGTGTCGGTTGAGTAAGATTTCCTAAAGCCTGATTGGTAACTATGGAGACTGTTGTTATCATTAAGATACTTAGCTACTTAATAGTACACCGTCCTCTCTAGAATTTGGATATTACACTGAGTATACAAACAGGCCTGTAGTTGCTGACATCAGACCTATTGTTTTTCTTGAAGGTAGGAGTAACTCTGGCCTCCTTGAACCCCTCCGGTGCAGTATTAGTGGTGATGGACAAATTTATGATGTGAGCAATGGGGATTGGCAATTCAGAGCCACCATCTTTTTGGAACTTGGACGGATGATATCTGGGCTTAGTTCTTTTTTGCACGAAGTCATAAGATACACTTGCTAGTTGACAACTGTTTGGGGTTTATCAGAGTCTGTGTTAAAGGTATTTGATACAGCTGGCAGTTTACTTACTATTGTTGATGCGACAGTTGTGTAGTATGAATTAGAACAATTTGCCACTTTAGTTGTTTGGTGGCATACCTCGTTATCGATATTTAATACTATATTAGATCTATCTACGGGTTTATGGCTATACCCCAACTGTTTTAGTTGTTGCCAGAGCTTTCTGGGGGGATTCTTGTACTCTTCGATTTTTGAGTACTAGTGCCTTGCCTTTGCTCCTTTTACAAGCCTCTGCACTCTGTTCCTCACCCTTTTGG